TGCTGAACGGAATGGCGCTTGCTTGCAAAAATGTGCCCCTTCACGGCAATCCCTACATCCTGCCACATCTTCTCAGAAGGCAACTTATGTCTGTAGACTGGAGTCAGTCCACCTGGTTTGCCTTGAATGCCCTGATAGGAGCACATTCTTTAATCAAAGCAGTGATGCTCTTAGCACACACTTAGAGTACAAAGACCCTAAACCAAAACCTTAAACCCTAAATACAGTTTGCCCTAAACCTGAGCCAACCCCTACCCAACTTTGGATTTTACTAGGCTCACCAAGGCGAAGTCAGGTCACCAACTGGCTCAGATGGCGCCAGGCCCTGCTTCGTCCTACAACGGCAAGCTTTCGGGCTCCACCCCTCCGCTTATGGACCACGTCTCCTTGGGAAGCCCTGTGCCTGCCCAAAGTGACCCGGAGCAAAGGGATCGGGGGGCTTGCGGCTTGCTCCCGTGTCCGTCTTTTACTGGTGTCTTCACACTCCTACACTTTCTAAGATGGACATGTGCATGGACCTGTGCCTGGAGGGATATTGGTTTAGCTTCTTTGGCAAGCGCAAGAGTGTACATCTGGCCATTTCTAAGCGGCAGGTGTGCATTTTTGGCTCCCGACCAAACATTGTGCGTGTGTGCTTGTGCCCCTCTGTCATTGATCTGCCTGGTACCGGGACGGAAGGATGTTGAGCCAAGCATTTGTTCGCTGGGTGGTTTGCGTGCCAAGGCCTTGTTTGAATGGCGAGCTCCGCTTTGACTTTCGACACCGCCACCTTTGGTTCCTCCCTGAGCCTGCGCAGCCTCGCCCGGACCGGGTGTGGATCCTCAGGGACGACGTGGGGCATGGGTGCTTGGGGCCGACAGGAAGCTACGATATTTGGACAGCCCCCTCTTGTTCTGAGGCTACAGCTTGAAGACAGCACGCCTTAAACATTGGGGCAGTCGCTCTGTCTAACAGGCAACATGCAAAAACAACCATGTTTTGCTCTGCCCTGGCGCAAGACAATCGGCCAGCACACAGATTCTTCGTTCAGCTAGGAATTGTCCAGAAACCAACAAGTGGCCCCTGTGGAAGGGTGCAAGGGCTTGTGTTTGGAGAGGGTGAATAGCTCTTCTGAAGATTTCTGAAGCGCCGGGCAGTGCCAGAAGCGCATGAGCAGTAATTCTTCAACATGCAGACTGTCCCTGGTTGTTTAATAGATGATTTGAGATGTTTGTTGGTTGCAGCAGTAGTTTCTGCCAAACATGAACATACTGGGCACAACTTATAGGGCAGTTACAAGGTCAACATATTGGCACTATCACTGCATGGGCTTTGCCGCCTTTCTCACTTTTTCTCAGGTCGGAGATATCAGTCCACAGCAGAGTTCGCCTGGGCGCGGACAACACCTACGTTGCCTACAGCACCTTCATCGAGCTCGACAACGACAACATCCCCGTTTTGCCGCTTGGCAAGGAAGACCCAAAAGAGACATGTGAGAGCGAACCATCTGACAAAAACATGAACTCATTTGACAAAAGCATGAACTCAGCGCACTCGCTCATTATGACCGCCTTTTCAAACATAGCTTCTTGTTTGACGTGGACTTCGCCGAGAGAGAGAGAGAGAGCGAGCAGCTCCGATGCCTTCCGGATTGAAGGATACAGCGCATGACTTGATTGTTCGAAGTAATGGCGGGCAGGCGCAGAGCCAAATGTGTGGAATGTGTCAAAACTGGGGGGGAGCTGACCGCTTTTAGCTTTCTAATTGGAGACCGCCCTGAGCTGCACCAAAAGCACAGCCCCACTTTTTGTCACGCATGTGGCTGCTTTCTCTGAGTCGAGTGGCCGCTGTTGCCTTTGTTGTGGCAGAGTCTGCCAACATGGGACATGTTTAATTGACCCAGCATTGCGATGGTGTTTCTTTTGGCAGATTGCGAGATATGGCGACCCTGGTATTTGGTTGGCACTCTTTGACTTTGAGATGTCTCACGACCGCCATGCGGGCTCACCAATATTTTTTCACAGCAAGCGCTACTACGGTCGCAGTATTTCACCTGTCATGTTGATCTTTGTTGCAATTCCTTTCGAACATCCGAGGTACGACACTGTGCAGGTCTATGCGGACATCAGCCGGGATGCCCTGCCTAGAAGGGAGGGGTCTGACGGGAGGACAAGGCCATGACTATGATTGGAGACGAGATCGTAGCTGCTTGCTTGTGCGTGTGGTTTGTGCTTGTTGTCGAGTTGATTTGTTCGAACTAGGGTTGGTTGGCCGACCAGCTTTGCCTGGCTATTTGTAATTGGTAGACTGGTTGATTGTAGGACTAGGATGCTGAATGAACATCGATGCCAACATTGTCACCGGAGACAAAGAGGAACGAAGGCCAAACCACATTTGCAAAGCATTCGAAAGCAAATCTTCTAATTTCATTCTGCAGTAGACACCCAGAAAAGTTTGTATGATGCAGCTCTATAGCCCACCATCCCCACCAAATAAATGTATTGTGGAATATATATTATACACAAATACAAGCAGCGGGTGCGGCCGCGGCGGCAGCAGCAGCAGCAGCGGCGGCGGCAGCAGCAACCACACCAAAACTAAAACGTTGCACATAAAAACAAGAAGGCAGGGCAACTGACGCTTTCCAAATTCTTGCATCCTGTTGCCCAGACATAACTTGCACAGACACACGCACACTGAATCGACAAGCCAAGGGGCTAAACGGGCCCGCCAATGATTGAGGTCCCTGTGGGTTGGATATGGGGCAGTAAATGATTCTTGTCAACGTAAGCTGTGCCCACCCGGCGGCAACATAGTTTTCCAACATGGGGGGCTCACCGCGAGTTGGGCAAAGCCCATAGCGATGGTCAGCCAGGTGGATCCGCCAAGAGGGGCATCACCATCAAGGGCGACGGCGGCCGCCTGCATGGTGCGGGCCCCAGGTAGCAACGGCTTGAGTTTTCTTTTGGCGAATAGACGTTTCAGGGTTCCGATCGACTGGGTTGAAGGGTATTTTCTTGGCGGCCCGTGCTTTGCTTTGCTTTGCTTTGCTTTGCTTGCTTGGCTTGCCTTGCCTTGCCTTGCCTTGCCTTGCTTTGCTTGCTTGGCTTGCCTTGCCTTGCCTTGCCTTGCCTTGCCTTGCCTTGCTTTGCTTGCTTGCCTGGTTGCCTGGTTGGTGGTTGGTTGGTTGGTTGGTTGGATGGATGGATGGTTGGTTGGTTGGTTGGTTAGTTGGTTGGTTGGTTGGTTGGTTGGTTGGCGGGTTGCCGGGTTGGTTAGTTGGTCAGGATTGCAGCTTGTATGTTTAGGTTTGTGATTTGCATTTGTGTATACAGTTTGTTGACATACTTTGCTGCCACTGTTTCAATTGGAACAGGTTTGGTCGGTTGATCAGGTTTGGGCGTTGCAGGCTCAGCTAGTAGTTTGCTCGGTTTGGGTCTTGGTCAGTTTCATTATCGGTCCAGCTGCTGCTTCCCCCTTGGGCCAGTCATGTTGCGCTAATCGATAAATTCGGACTGCTGGCTCCACGTGTTTCCATTCCATGCTTGAATATGAGGGTAGAACATGCATGAAGTCAAAGGCGCATGTGCAGCAACATTTGGCCACACATGATCATTTGGTTTGCTCTTGTTGAACATGAATGCATGTTTTTTTTTTTTTTTTTTTTTTTTTTTTTTTTTTTTTTTTTTTTTTTTTTTCGCAGGCAGGCTTTGTGTTTCTCATTTAGTTGTTTGTTGTTGTTCTCAGCAAACTTTGCACGAGTGTGTGTGTGTGTGTGTTAAGGAAAATCGTTGGCTGAGCATGTGCAGTACATCATAGGGTGATTGGGTGCCTCTAGAGGGGCAAGTGCATGTTTCCAGGTTTTCTCAACACATGACGGACACCATGGCAACTGCAATCTTCCAGCATCAACTGTTGGAACAACCAGTCACTTTTGGAGACACAATTGCACGCAGGCGCATGGGTCGCGGACGTTGCTGCTCCTTGGATGCCTGTGAGAGCGGGATGTGGGCCACAAGAATGTGTTGATTTGTTTGACGCGCCCGTGCGTTGACGTGCGCACTCCTGCTGCGTTCGTGGTTCCATTTCCCATCCTTGTTGAGAACTGTGTTTCCGACGGAACAGCCAATTGCTTACTTTGCTTGACGTGGCCCGACTTTACTTTGTTGCATTTGCAAGGTCACCCGGAAACCGGCTTACAGTAGCTGTGCGAAGCTTGCCTCCACGACCTCTTTGGAGACGCTGCCAATCCATGTTTGCATAGACGCAGGACCACGCTATTAATTGTCATTCTAGCAAGACAAACCATTCTGAGGAAAGCAACCGTTTCGTTTTGTTTTGCAGCAGGACTAGAATATCATACTGTTTCGGTCCGTCTTGATTGTCTGTGCGTGCAAATGAAGCATCTTCCAAGCAATACGGACTACAAACACGTCAAGCAGCTGCCTTGTTCTGATAAAGCTGGTCAAGCACCCAGGCAACATTTTCCCAAATTGGCTCAACTGGTTCACGCGTGATTGCCAGGTCTCACATTTTCAATTGGACCCCTTTCTGGAATAGCTACAAAAAGGAAGCCAGCCATCCCATCCAGACCATGGCTTTAACACAGCCACGCAAGCTGCATGCCATGTTTGAGGGTATGGCCACCAACTCTTGTCAGAATCGCTGCAAACGTTCATCTGAACTTCTGAAGAATGCATAGCACGTTTGAACAACTCGGCAGTTACAGGTGTTTATCTCTTTTGTCCAGGTACCTTTTTGGCACGTTGGGGCCACGTGGGCAGCGCCATTGCGAGGTTTCCACCTCGGATCGCAACCTCAAGAACTCCATCATGCCTTTGTGCGCCGGGGTTGTTCTCTCAGGATGCAAGCCACTCAAACAGCACGAGAGGAAATTGCTGGGGGGTGCGTCTCAAGATGGGAAACTGCAAAATCAGTCTACCATTCGAAGGGGTGCCCTTTGGGACAGAACCCAGAACCACATGAGTCTGCGGGGCCTTCTGGCTGGATCACTCGTTCGGGCATCCGGCCAGCGCCATATTCCAGAGAGGTCTCAACGGGAAGCCCCTTTGACTGGGTCGAAATGCGACTTGCTTGCTCTTTGCCTTCAGTTTAAGTTGACCATTTTGTTTCGTTGGCCCGCTACTTGTTGACGCTCGTGGCACTTTGTCTTACAGGATCCCCATGTTTGAAATCGAGCCATGACTTCACGTGAAGAACAATTTCTCAGATTGCCCCTCCGGCTTGGGTTTTGGCCTTTTTGCTTTCCCTCAATCTTCACTTGCAGCCAGCCGCGTTTTTGCAGGTGGTCTACGCCTGGTAAAAAATGGGGGTTTAAGGGGAAAGAGGTTGCATTGAGGTCAAACAGGGTCTCCAGGTTTGTCAAAGTGATGGAGGGGCTTCTTTCCAGCGGAGTGAGGTACATTTTTTGAGGAACCAACCAAAGGGATTCAACATTTTATCCAGGCTATCTCACACATCTCAGTTTGGGTTCTCTTCAATCAGCCGCAACAGGGTGCCTCGAACGCAACATGATCAAGGATACATCGGCATATCATGTACTGCTGCGAGATATTTTATGCTCACTCACACCTATATGTGCCCAGATAGACACCCGAATGTGTAAGCCATCAATGTGCAGCGGACCAATCGTTTGGATGGGTCCCTCTGACATGGCCACATGGGGTATCGACATTTCATCTGTATTGTGTGGTCCGAGATCCGTTTCTGTGACGTTCCATTTTAACTGCAGGGGCAACAGGGCATCCAACCGCAAGTCTCCCACCACCTCACGCATGCTTTCGACCAGGTACCAAACCTTCCATGGACGAGGAGGTGACACGAAAGATGTTCGGCAACTCAGTGTCCGGACAAGCTCGGGAGCAGCAACATAGGGAATAGAGCCGACGGTGAGATCGAAAGAAGAGAAACAACCCGGATAAATGCAAAATGTAGACAGCCGACTGTGACCTGCAAGCTAGGATTGAAGGTGTTTGGTTCTTCTAGATTCGCTTTCTCAACGGGGTTAGGTGTTGCACGTCTGCAACCTGCCAATAATTTCTGATTCATGATGGTGCTGAACAGTTGTCTCTCCTTCTGGCAATTTGCTTCCTCCATTTGACTTGGTTAGAAAACGGCGGCTTCAGCTCAACACGTGTAGCTCAAGTACCACTTGCCAACCAAACCAACACCTAGCCATTGCAACCGAGGATGCCCTGGTTCGGAAAACAACGCACAGACTGCACTGCGAATCGGCGAAGGATTTTTCGTGGCCCCCTTGGGGGCCGCTTCCCACTGGCCACATCCGGACGAGGTCTCCGGTGGCGTGAGCTGGGTCTTGCGGCAGCTCCGGCCAGTGTCCTTCAAGCCCGGGCCTCAGGTTGGAAAGGAGCATAGGCCATCTCTGGAGTCTGACTTAATCTGTACACATATAACACACACACACACATATATATATATATATATATTATATGATATATTTAAGTACATATCTCCAAACATGTAGACTTGTGAGAGATTTGGGCAGGTAGTTTGGCGACCCCTGGTTGATATCAAGAATCATTGCTCTGACGTGCAGGTTACCGCATTGTTTGTCATGGTTTGGTTTTCCAGGATTCGCTTTACAAACAGTGCCCGCAGAGAACTTGCAAGTTATTCTGCCGTTGAGCCCCTGCCAATTAGAATCAAGGTGCTTCGCCCAACTTTTGAGTTGTTTGTAATCCACGACTGCTCTCTGCACGCGGATCCCCTTGAGAAGACGGCTGGGAAGCATCCAGCCGTTGATTGGACGGATTGTTCCTCCCAGGCTTTTTCTGGCGGGCGCCCCTGGCCGGGTGTGCAAACGAGGTTTTCGTTCCTAGTAGAGGCTGGAGAGGAGTGACGGGTAGTTGGTGAGCCAGCGTTTGGCACCGAGTTATGATTTTTTTGCTGTGCCAGGGGTAGGGGTTGTTGTGGAGCACATTCGTCATTTTCCAAGAAAAGCAGGCAGTTGGTCTGCCCTTCATCAAAGCTGCTTGTCTCAAGCAGTTGGTGTGATGAGATACCAAGCTCTCTCCCAAACTAGCCATGTTTTCTCGCCAGTCCATGTTCCGATCAAGAAATGATGGCCAACCAACATGTCACTTCAGACGGCCGCTTCAGTGGCTGAGGTTCAACAAAGGGCCGGAGGCGAAGTACAGCCGATACGGCTTCGTGGCACCACCGGCTCGTTGCACGTGCCTTCGTCACTTCCGTTGAGTTTTCTGTTGGCCTGTTTTGCAGTTGCTATCCAAGAGAGAGTAGATGTCTGCCCAATTCTTGGTTTCCTGGGACTGGTAGAAAGGTCTGAAACGCTGCGTTTCAGATTTGCCCAAAAGCTGACCCGAGCTCCCTCACAAGCCACAGATCTGGAATGAGAGTTCACTTTGTGAAAGATCGGCAATCATATGATATATTGTTTCGCTGCCTCAAAGCGATTTCCAGTAAAACACAAACTGTCCTTTTTTGAACCTACCAAGGATCGTTTTATCATAGTATGCGTCTTAGTCTTGTCTTGCTAATCTCCCCAGCTTTCGGGTTTCGCCAGGCGCAAGAGCTGCGAGAAGTGCTCCCCTCGCTGGTGCGAGACATCAAGGGCGACGGGAGCGAAGGGCACTTGGCAGTGGTGTACCAGGAGCTCGCTGGTCGCTGTTGGTTAAACCATTTGTTTGCCTGGATCTGTTCTGTCTTCATTGTCCCCACCTGGGGCGAGCTGGATGACGTGGTCCGTCCAAGCGTCCTGTTTGAAAGCTGGTCTTCTTGGTGCGTGAGCGGGCCATTGCCAGGACTTGATCGCACTGCTTACGGCAGCTGCTCAGATGCTGCAGGAGAAGGTCAGCAAGCAGGAAGCGAAGATCACCAGGTGGGATTCGTAGACCTTGGGACCGAGGAACAAGGGCTTCTGACTCTAGTCACTAGGCCAAGGGTTTTGAATGCTTGGCCAGACGCAGATGATGCCCTACAAACATTTGCAGACTGGCCCAGGACACTCAGATTGAGTTTGCTCCTGCAGGTCACCCCTGTGTTTGAAAATTGTAACAGAATACAGAGACTTTCTTCGGGATGTGATTTCAACTCATTGCACACTTTAATGATGGCGACAGCCACTCCCCCCGTCACACGGCTGGGTTTGTCTTCCCTGATTGACACTAACTTGTCGTCAACTGAAGCGCGTGTGATCACTCCCTCAAGCGACGAGTCGCTGTGTTGTTTAGGGACACCAAGTTTTATTTGATGAATCAAATGTGTTAGGCCAGCCATGTCTTTGAGCCACCCCTCTGCGTTAGTCTGATTATTGTCCTCAGCTATGGCGCATCAATCCCAGAGTCTCTATTTGCTTTGAAGGTCCTCATGACATTGTGTCAACTATCCTTGCCAGCCATTTTCGCGTCGGGATGTTCCAGCACTGGGATTCTTGTGAAGGATCCTCGGAATTTGTGCCCCGTCGGCCCTCCCAGCCGTCAGGCTGGAAGAGCAGCTTGTGGCAGTGCACGAGAAGCTAGCGGGGGGCTGAGCGTTGCGGGCAGGGGGGCCATTTATCTTCAGGTACCCCATGGATAGGTGCCTTGGATTTGGGGCTTGTCATAGCTCGGGAATGAAACTAATGTTGAGGATGGTGGGCTGTCATCAAGCGATTGAATCGAATTGGGCATGGGAAGGTTGATGCTTGGAAGACTGTGCCCTAGCATGCATGAAATGAGGTGACAAGAAGGAGAGAGACTGGGGCAACGCAGGAATTTTAATCAAGCAATAGACTGGCAGAAGGATGCACACAGATGTCACGTTGTGCATCAATTTAGACCACAACACCTGTATTTTTTGTTTTTTTAGAATCAGGAATCATCAAGTGAAACAGCATGTTCATCTTCATACATCGCCATGTTGAATGAGAAGGGCGCCCAAGTACAAAGTGTCAGTAAAGTTTTTTCGACACTTGTCAGTCAGAGGAATAAGAACAGAAAACAAAAGAGCAAACTGTGCCGCTCTCTGGACGAAAGATTTCCAAAGCAGAAACTAACGGACTTCAACTAGGAGACCATTCATGTTCTAGCACTAGGTAAGTCTGCGAAGCGTTAAGAGTGCTGGGCCGACCTTCAGCATCCTTTTCGGGTTTTCTTGCAAGTAGCCTCCGGAGCCCTCGTTTGCTCGGGGTCAAGGACATGCTCCTGGATCTGAATGCCAAGCGGCAGGCCGGCTCGGGATGCAGTGCCATGTGAGATGGTGTCGGGCTCTGTTTGAGCAGTGCTGTCTCAAACGTGGGCACCTTCCCCCCTCCCCCCGCTCATGGAACAATATTTCTGTTTGATAGTCGAAATAATTTCTACCAGATTTCAGGGTTTCAGGCATAAGGTCCTCCTTTTCTGGGGCAGTGGGCTCTGGCTCTTCCCCCTTCTCTAGGCTTTGCACCTTGCCAGGAGCGGCAAATGGCCGTCTAATCGCCCCAGGCGCGCCAGATCCGACGGGTTCGAGAAGGGGTTGAGGCAAGTGAGCTGATTGTGACGACTTGGAGGGAGCCCAAGATTGCTTGGAGAACCCCAGCTTGAAGCAAGCATGTGCAGAGCAGCGCTTTCCGACAGATATCCTTGGAATTGGTTTGAGCATGCAATGCAAGTTTGAACTAGGCACACATTTACCCTGCTTGGGCAGGCTAGGATGGCAACAAGGCGTTTGACATGCCTTTTTCCCCTACGCCTCTTGCAAGAACGGTTGGCAATGAGCACCCAGGTTTGTCGCTACCCTTCAGGTGGGGCTCACACGCCATACAAACTCGAGGGCGGAGGACAACTCCGGGCGTGGCATTTTTTGTGCCCTACTTTTCCGAAGCAACTTGTTTCGACCCAAACGTTCATTTTGTTTCAGTACTGTCTTTTGTGTGTTCGGTCCTAGACTTGGGCATGCAGGGCTTACGTGCAACAAGTCAGCGCTCGAAAGGAAGCTGGGGTAAGGGGTGGGATGGCTTGGGCCAACCCAAAGCCTTACATCCCCCACATCAAAGCCTCCAGAGAAATCCTTCGTAAGCGAGCAACAAACAACTTAGGACCAACATGAGATCCGGACTAGACCCGCAAGAGTTGCCAGGGTTGCCAAGTAGGACCAAGATCAGCGCAGAGTTGCTAACTAGGATCACAACGATGCAAATCCAGCCTAGGGCCAGAATGACAGACGATCTCTGCAAGACCCAACATGCTACCCCGAGACCTTGCCGAATGGATCTGCAACTTGGGCCAGCTTCTCAAGGCTCCAATAAATTCTATGTTGACCAGGAGCAGCTGCCCCTCGATTGCTGCTTGGTTCCTGGCACTTGCCCCGGGGGTTGTGGTCCAGCAACCGCCGGTTCGTGACGCTGGGTGTCGGTTCTGGGTGCCCGCAGGCGAAGGATGGTCGCCGCTGAGTCTCCGAGGTTCAGCCCTGGGCCAAGGTGATGTGGCCATGGGTCAAAGGCCAAATCGGTTAGCCCCAGTGAAGATCAACCAATCCCACTAAAATAGGTTCTAAAATGGGTGGTGCACCTACCAACGAGAATGGGATCCCATTCCATTGGTTTTGACCCACAGCCATGTGGCGCCAACCGGCACGAAACACACCCATGAAGTGTGGTGTCCTCAACAGATCTTGCGGCAGAGAACTCAAAAGTGCACATGCAACGGTTGATGAATTGAGTGTTTGCTGGTAGGCCAAGACTTCCAGCACAGAGTTATGTTTTCGGCCGGATGCGTCTCACCAAGCTCGGGGCTGACCTCTAGACGCGACGCACCAGCCTCCGCACCTCCGCGAGAGAACTTGAATTTGCGTTGCGTCACAAGAAAATTGCACTGCTCCACCCTCGCTCCCTTTCCTCGAACGGGCAAATGGCGAGCAAATCAGGCGTCAAGCTACGCATGCCCCGATGAAACCAGCCTATTGCAGCAGGCATTTCACAGTTCATGAGATTGCGGGCACAACTCTTTTGTCGTCATGTTTTTCTTCACAGCTGGTTGTGACAGGCAATCCTGGAGACGGTTCAGCTTGAGAGTTTAAGGGAGCTTCATTGCCAACTTCGCTACCAGAATTGAGCAAATCGTCAAGCAGACATGAGCGACTGGATATGACTCTGGCCCAAGGAAGAACGTACCAGAAATGCGCTTGATTCAAAATATCTAGTGCCAGGAGATGCACTTTGCACACTGACACAAGCCCTTTGCTACTCAGCCCTTTGCTACTCAGCCGCGTCAGCCCTTTGTTACTCAGGCCTTTGCTACTCAGCCCTGAAAGAGCACTGGGGTGGTATGCTTATCAGGATGAATTCAGCATATTGGTGTTTTTCTTGCCGTGCGCACTTGAATTAGCTCCGACTTGGCAGATCGCCAATTTGAAGATTGTTGGAAAGGATCCTCCAGGTTTGCCAAGTCGGACGCTGCAGTTAATTCAATTCGCTGATGCGATGGGGTATGCCTGCCTGCCATGCTTGGCTTGAGGGGCATGCAGTGAGTTCAATCCTTCATGCTTGCGTAGGCTTGCTGATGCATCCCAGCAACCTGATTGAGCGCTTCTGTCCCGCATGATCCTGAGGGAACACAAATGTGCACCTCTTGCAAACAACTTCCCTGGGCAGGAGAGACGCGGAGTTCTGCGTGTGTATGCCATGGATTTGATCAGCTTGAACATTCATGCATTTTTTTGTCATTAGTCATTTTACAGGAGAAAACAAAGGAGCATATTGGTACTAAGGCAGTCCAACAGGTTTGACCGCCGCACAATTCAGAGCTTGTCGAGGAGCTGGGTGGATGTCGTTGGCAAGCTTATTATAGTTGCCTAGATATTGCATGTAATTTCTTGTTGCCTGATTGCAACATGGGCTTCCGTCGTTGCCAGCCACTTTCTGGATACACGATTTACGATGAACTGGAAGCGAGCCAGGCTCCCAACGCTCAAAGCGTGCGCTCTGCCGGCTGGGAGGAGGATATCGGCCGGCCCGGGACTTCAAATGGGAGCTGGGCTTCTTCCTTCCAGACAGCTGTGCTGGCTTGTTTCCATGTTCCGCACTAAGAACACAGTGTCAAAAACTTAATGGCAATGCTTGGTCAGAAACGGGAGCTAGCCTGGTTTGGTTGTTTTGGACAAGCAGATCTTTAATGCGAGCACCTCCGCCCTCAGACGTTTGAGCCGGCGCAGCCATGTGCAGAGACCCAAGCTGCAGTTCCCCCAAGGCTTGTTCGAGTGGGCTGCCTGAAGTCGAGGGTGATTCTTCGCAGCATCACCCAATACGCCAACCAGACAATGCTTGATGGGTCTGTTTGGCAATCCCATTGCAGGCACGAGTTTCGCTTTTGCCACTGCCACAATTCTACGTTGACACGAAAGTGTGCAAATCAGCTGGACACCATGTGATGGTGGTGAATGCGTCTCGGGGACAATCTTGCAAATACAATGGAGGTATGATGGACATTTAAGGCACAGGACGCTAGCATTTTGCTGGAGCGAGTTTGAACAGGTTGTCAACAGCATGTACAGCTTGAAACAGGCAAGATATTTGACATGGCACCTGGACGTAAGAGTGTGGGATATCTGTCTTTGAAAATGGTATGCATTTCCGATTCCATTTTGGCGCACCTGAGGAGCAGAAAGAGACACCACCACCCCCATATAAATCTCAGTCTGAACATAATTCTTTCTAAGGGTTTTTCTACATACCCCGAAATCACATACCCAAAAAAAGTTGACTATAGAGTGGTTATATAGGGGTTATACAATGTCACCCATAACCAACTATTTTGGGGTATGTACTTTTTTCCCCACGGTATGCTGTGCTTTCCCGGCCCGGGAGAAATTGAAGAAATTTGGGGTATGTACTCTGCGGCCCCGGTGGGCTTTTGTCCAGGGTTCCTCAGCACCGGTCTCAAAATACGAAATCTGGGGCATCACCTGGGCGTTGTTCTGCCCACACTGCTTTTGCCATCCCGGGGCTGAACACAAACCATCACGAGTAGCGCCTGGCATAGGCTAACAGTGAAAGTGGCAAGCACACATCCCTACCCCGAGAAGGTGTTTCCATTATTTTGGGGTATGTACTTTTGGGGTATGTACTTTTACTCTTAGATTCTTGGCCGGCCAAGGAGAGAGGAAATGGAAGATGGCTGGATCTTCATTGACTGCTACAGCCGGGCGAGCCAAGGTCAAATCTGGACACTGCGTGCCGTCGCAATAAGGCGCCCCGTTTTTGGATCTTTTGGTGAATGTCAATACAGACACAACCCGGCCACTCACAGATCCTACATTTTGAGACGCTTTGGCTCTTTGTGACTTTAGGACGCAGGGCAGAATCCTATGAAGCATGGTGGACAGAAAGGCAAAAAACATGGTGAGGGCCGAGGACATGTTGAACTGCACACATGTGCGCCCTCCTCAAAGGAGGTAGACCTCGCTTTGCAAGGCCCGGGCTTTCCGTCCCATTTTGGGGCTGGTCATTTGCGTGGGCTCTCACGGCAGAGACCGCGGGTTTGCTCGCACCAAGCTTAAGGCGGCAGCCCCCGCAGCTGCTACTTCGCCATCTACGACGGCGGGATGTTTTGGGGGCGGGGCAACGTAGGAAGGGCAAGACCAGCCAAAGTTGCAGGTCTCGCTTACCCGCAAGCCAGGAGTACTGATTTGGGGTAAAGTGCAAGGAACGGTTCCTTTTTGCGATGCTTTGTTCATGAGGATTGTTTGTAGGCAACGTGTCATTTTATCTTGCAGATTTGTGGATGCCGAAACACGGTGCTTCAATCCTAGCCGCACATCGTTTGCAGACTTTTGACTGACTTGGGTGCCGGTGAACAATGCTCATTGGGCAACATGCTTCCTCCCAACCGTCCAGCTAGCTGCTTGCTTGTAAATACATAGATACACGATATACAAGTGGCCAGCCAGCAAGGGCGACGGTGCACATCCCTTTTACCACGACTTGTGTAAGCTCTCATGTTATTGACCAAAATGTTGCCGTTGTGCCTTCCAGAAGTCAGTCTGGCTCCCAAGCTGGTTCTACTTGAGGCCTTTATATGCCGTATCTTTGGTGCTTGGATGATAGGACTCTAACTTTTTGCCAACTACTGGGTTTTCCATTAAACCACTAAAAGTCAAACTTTTCGCAGCGGAGCAGATTTCGCAACCGAGATATTGTACTTTCAATGACCTGAAAGTTCAATGACCTGAGGGTGTAATTTTGCACTTCACCGTTGAGAAGCATACCGTTGGCTGCGCGAGGCCATGGTGGCCGCCAGTGCGTGGAGTACGTCGTGGAGCACTTGCATGAGTACGCCCCCCCCGCGCTTGGGTCATTGGGGGGTTTGTTGGTTTGTTTGTTGGTTGGTTGTCCGGTCGTTTAAACTTTTTGGCTTCTTGGCCTTTTTGGTTTCTCAGCATCTGAGAGCACCTTGTTTTTAATCGCGTACTTTCGTTGTAAATGTCCTTATTGTTTCCTAATGGGGGGCTTCTCAGTGTGTGAGAGCACTTTGTTTGTTATTGCGGACTTTCGATATGAGTGTCCTTATTTGTTTCCTATTGGAAAGGGGGTCCCCCAACTCCCCTGCTTCTTTATACGACCGTTGTTCGCCTTTGCGAACCTCGTTCGGAATCGTGCACTCAGTGTGTTCTGATTTCTGCTTTAATGGTCCCGCATGTTTTCAGGGACGCTTTTTGCCCCTGTGCGTAAGCGCGCGCTTTCTCCATTATTGTGTCTTTACGTAGTGTTTTTTTAAGCAGGGTGAGCCTTTTGGCTTCTCAGCCCCCTGATTTTTTAACCGCGCACTTTCGTCCTAAGTTTTCAATTGGGGGGGCAGCCCCCCCCAACCCCCTGTTTCTTTACAGAACTGTAGCTTGGATTGTGAACCTCAATCGTCGCAAGCTTTGCTCCCCGCGCTTTTCTTTCATAGGGTCTATTTGTGTTTTAGTGGCCCCGAATCTTTACAGGGCTGTTTTCGGCATTGTGACCCTTGTTTGCAATCGCGCGCTGTCTCCATTATAGTGTCTGTATATGTTTTGCTGGGGGGAGGGTGCTCCGCTTTCGCTCCGCCTCTAGCTGCCGGTTTTCGGCTTTGTGACCCTGGCTTGTGATGGCGTGCTTTCTCCATTCCGATGAGCTTGAAAACGATGCTGGGGATGTTAAACCATGTTGGGGATGTGCCAACCAAACCAAAGCAGCACTAAGCCATCCCTAAGCCACCCAACGCCTACCTTAGACCACCCACAGAAACACAACCACTGCTGAAGCCAACTCTCTAACCCAGCCTTACACTCATCCTAGACCAACTCCTATCTCAAGCGCAGCCATCCCAGAATTTGCTCTCAGCAGGCCTGGAACCCCCTGAGCCAACCTGGAACCTATCTTAAACCCAGCCCAAAGCTTGGTGATGCTGGGGAAGTTGAACACGATACCTAAATCAACCCCAAACCGACCCGCCCGGAGCCCGCCCTGGACCCACCCTAAGCTTACCACGCACCTTGCCGAACCTGCCTGAAACCTGTAGACTGAAATGCCGCTCTTTCGTGCCTGTGCTAGGGTTTGGCTAATGCTAGGGCTACGCGAAAATATCTCAGGCACAATGAGCTTGTTAGACTCATTAGATGTCAGAACAATCATTTCCCTGCGACTCGCAAACGCAGGCTGCCTGTTTAAATTCAAGCCCACTTCGGCATTAGGATGTGGCTGTTGATCTTCCTGAGGACGATTACGCAAGTCAGCTGTGGTCTTGCCGATTGAGGTCCTGACATGCAATGCTTTCCCTTTTCTGTGCTGAAGCATTCTGGGATTGCGGCCGTTCACATGATGAGGTATCACCACCCCATGAGCAATTCCAACAGCTCAGATTTGCACGATTTCTGACTCTGCCAGGAATCTGCTTCTTGAGCTGGAGAAGGACTGCCTGAACAGAAAATGAGGGCCCTTCAGGATTTGTGACCTTTCAGGGGCTCGTCATGTTTTGCAGTGAGTCGCAGTCTGATGGTTTCTCCGGTGTTTGGTTTCTTTCCGCAAGCGTATTGTCGCCTTGGGTAAGTCATGGTAGCCGTGAGTCACACACACAGCTCTCTGCCTGGCTCTGCACCTCTAGCCTTCCTTCAAAACACGGCGAAGTGAATCACCACACGCTTGCTTGGCCAGTTGCCGACACCCCAATCTATTGATAGAGTGCGACACGCACGCAGCTCACCGCGGTGAGCTGGCTGAAATGTACCTGAATAGGGGTACCAGATGGGACAAAAGGACACATGTAGAGGTGTTGCAGTAAATCGCGACCACCAGCGGACCTGGAACCGCCAAGCGTATCTGCTAATTGGATGATTGGATGTAAGTTATGATTGCAAAATACAGGCATATGGGAAATCAGTTTCACTCCAAGAAAGGAATCACGGAGCCAAAAGGAGCACTCTCGGCAAGGAGCCTGCCAACGTGCCGGACTCGATGATGCGGGCCTTCGAGCTCACGGACGATAGCATGCAATCCTCAGGCCTGGCCATTGGGACTGACGGAAGCTGAATCCTATAAATCCATGGGCTTTGGGTGACTCGGACGTGCGCTCAGGGTCTGTTGTCAGGATGGATTTGAGGCGGTTGAATATTGACATTCTGGAATGGTGGCGATGCTGAAGAACTGCTCATCCAGCTAATGGACGGCGTCAGCAATGAAAGTATTTGATTGCCATCGCTGCTCACTGCAAGCGTCGTCCCAACAGACTGGAAGCATCACAATTACACCTATCCATGCTTTTGATGCTAAGCTGATTTTGCTAGCATAGCCTTTCATGATTGACCGTTTTGTGGAACCCCCACAAATATTTTCCATCCGCCAATTCAGAGCGTCAAAGTAAGACCGAGAGTTTGAAACTTCAATGGGCTCAATGCATATGTTGAGTCCCATAGAACGCACGATTCAGTGATAAGGACAGCAAATGGATGTCATCAGACAGAAATAATCATGGCATGACAAGGTACTGTAGAGGCAATGAGCATGTACACAAGGGGAGCCGCGGCCGTTTTGGCAGTGCTCTGGTCTCGCTTGTTGCCATGAGTTAGGCAGGGCATAAATACAAAAGTCCAGCGACGAATTGTGGTTCCAGTTGTGAGAGTTCTCGTTGGGCACTCCTTTGTGTGGACAGCAACAGACACTGCTGTTCGCATGAGTGTGTTTTGAAGGGGCCTCTTTTTCTGGCCTGCAAGAGCCGATTTGCTGTTCTGGAGTGCTTTGCGATGGAACAGTGACACCAGCAGCTTGATCAGGGTTTCTCCAATTTAAATGTAAGTTGCCCAGTAAGCCCAGTGAGTATTCGACGGGTTTTGACCAATTCTCTTCATTTTTTCTTCTTCTCATTCTTTGCTGAGGCATCAACAGCTCAGGATGCACAGCTTGTTGCTGCTTGCTGCGGCAGGACTCGGGGGACATGCGCATTTGTCAAAGTTGGGCCCTCCATTTTTTAGCAGGTTGTCTAAACGGACAAAAGGACAATTGAGGTTGTCCAAAAAGCGCGGCCGTCTAGGTTTGGTATTCGGAGGTTCTTCGCGTCCAAAACTGGCACGCCTCACTGCAAAACGATCGGGAGTTACATGCCAAAGTGTACTTCGCGTACTACGCTGTACTGAAAGCTTGCGATTTCGAGGTTGAAAGTGCAGAAAGCCCAAAACACCGCAAAACGAGAAGGAGTTAATAAACGATAACCCCAGACAAGTAACTCTGAAACACCGAGGTTTTATGCAACCTGGCTATTAGAGAGGCTCGGAGCTTTGGAAGCATAGCCACAGCTGCCTGCCTTTGCATCCTTGGGCTTTTGTAGCACCACCGCCCTCCATCGTTGCCAACCTCATGTATCGCTATGTATTGCTCCTGCAACGAGCTCTTGGCTATTCGGACCGGCAGCTTGCTGTTTCCAAGCAAGCTGCTTTTGCGTATAGCGCGTCTGGACCCCCAACAGGCTTTGCCTTCAGGAGAAGGCCTTCATGGAGAGGGTCCTGTACACCGGGCACGTAGGCCGCAGCTGACGGGTGTTCCCGAATTTCTGCATACCAAGCTGATGGCCCTGAAGCTTGAAACTAGCTACCACATAGTCACAGTCAACATTGATGGCCAGGGCTTGAGGGGCTGGGGACAGCCAAGCTGCTTGTCAGCCGTCGATGGGAAGAAATCAAGGGCATGCAGTACTGGTCTTCCATGTTTCCTTTCCGCACAAAGGTTGAGCAAAAGGTGGAGTGAGCAATGCTATACATGGATAGCAATAGATGACGCTTTGCATCATACATGAAAAGTCTGATGATGATTACTATTTATTATGATTATTATTATTATTATTATATTATTTATTATCATTCTTATTCTTATTATTATTCTTATTCTTCTTCTTTTTATTATTATTATTATTCTTATTCTTGTTATTATTATTATTATTGTTATTATTAGGATTATTATTATTTATTTATTCATTTATTTATTTAGTTATTTACTTATTTATTTATTATTTGATATTTGATATTTATTATTTATTACTTTTTGTTCCTTTTTTTTTTTTTTAAAAAAAAAAAAAAAACATAATATATTATTACTATTTATTATTATTATTATTATTATTATTATTATTATTATTATTTTCATTTGTATATGAGTAAAGTAACTGCTGATATGTTTTTGCTGGGCATCCAGTTGATTGCAACTTGATGGCACCGGACATATTTTGCGAGATCCCGTGAGAATCCGCTGCCAGGCGACGCTCGCGCAGTGCTCTGCAAGGGACCTGGCCCTGTCTTGGAGACGTTGACTCGTAATCAACTGACCAACTTGCATGTACCTGAGTGACCGCGGGCCCTGACATATTGAGTCTTGCTCGCGCTTTCGGTTGAGAGATACCCGAGTGACCGCCAGCCAGCTCCAGATGTTTCGTGTTTGCTTTCAGGCCACTTGTATCCACATGTATCCACGCACGCCACGTAAGAAGCTAAACATCTCAAACCGGCTGGCGGTCACTCAGGTAGAATTTCTCAAGGGAAAGCGGCCTAACGAGCAAGACTAAATATTGCAAGCTAGCCCGCAGAAGCTCCGCCACAAGCTCTTGGATTTCGGGTACCAATTCTAGGATATAGTGCCCGTCACTCAGATGCAGACTCTTGGCTGCTTTATCCGAGGTCGCAAAGGCTTGGCCGTGCGTCTCACTGGCGTGTCGGATCACAAGGCACCGACCGGATCGCCGCGTATGGAGCGCCGGGACAACGCATTTCGTTTTGGAAGGCGAGGCGCTTCTTTGGACACGTGGCAAATTCAAGTTGCTGTGGTGTTTCCGATTGTTGCATGTTTGGCTTCTGAATGCCGATGCAGAGTCAGAATCCTGTGCAATAGCCTGGGCGCGAACTGCCGCACTCTTTACGATTTTGCAGTTGTTCTTGTCAAACATCTTTTTGACATGTGGTGTCCGTGTGTGTGTGTGTTGCACAAGTTCGAGACATGTTTACAGTATACTCATTTGCACCTTGCATTGCATAGCTTTCACTTGGCAAAACTCCAGTGTGCAGTTAGCTTTGGTGGGGTGCCTTTGGAAGTGTAGAGGGTCGCCGGCAGTCTTGCAGGGGTTGTTTTGGTTTTGTTGTTCACCTTTGGCATGACTTTAAGAACGTTATAAGTCAAGCATGTTCTCATGTCAAGCAGCAGGCAAACACGTCAACCCAACTTTAGAGCCTCCGGCTCAGTCCGCCGACATTGTCCTCTCCCTTTTCTCCTTCCTCCTCTCTCCCTTGTCTCCCTTGTGTGTTCTGTTGTCCTCTCTCCCTCCCCACCCCCCCCAAGCATCTCTCTCCCCAATCTCCCTCTCTCGTATGTATGTATGCATGTACATATGTATGTATGCATGTAATGTATGTAATGTATGTATGTATGTATGTATGTATGTATGTATGTATGTATGTATGTATGTATGTATGTATGTATGTATGTATGTATGTATGTATGTATGTAATGTATGTATGTATGTATGTATGTATGTATGTATGTATGTATGTATGTATGTATGTATGTATGT